CCTACCATAGCACTGGTTAAATTTAAATTTCAAGATAACATAATCTTCAGTAGAAGCATTTTCCAAATATTACTTCTACTTGAAAAAAAAACTATTTAAAATTCTAATTTCAGGGGTCCCGTACTTTCATTTGCTAAATCTGGCAATACTATACTGTTGCTTTTGAGAGACAAATTTTATTCTTATGGATGGAATTACCCCCAAATCCTAAAACCCCGCCCAAACAACAGGCCTTTCAACCAAGGGAGACTTCTTTCCCTTCTTGCCAAATATAAAAGAAATTTCTAATTAGTTTATCTGCCAGATGCATTCACGCAAAGTTACAACGTGAAGGAGGTCTGGAGCACAGGCTGTATGACCACCTAACACCCTCAATGCAGAAGCCACCTCTTCCTGTCAACCTCCAGCCCCTTCTGTGGTCTCCGAGGAGAGGCATTTGCTAATGAAGTGCATCTGCTAGGGCTGTTAGGAAGTGCCAATGTCCATCACCCCATCTCTGCTTGAAGCCAGAGAGAATAGTCCACACCTTCCCAGCAGAAGAGACTGCCTGAGAGAAAGGAGTAGGGACCTGTGGAGGAAGGGCTGGGAGAGGTCTTGATGACGAAGATGGACTTTTCCATGTCCCTGGGAGGGAATCTAGTAAATGGCAGTGGCCCCCTCCTCCCAATCTCACTAGCCACATCTTCTCAGACACCTGCGCACTGCCTCCCCAGCAAGTAAGACTGACAGATCCAAGGAAGTTAAAACAAAAAGAATGTTTCAAAAGCCTCACTGTGTACCAGGCACAAATCCAACAGTATTTCACATAATCCTTCAGTACTCCTGTAACATAGGTTTCAAGGTGGTCGTTTACAAAGACTTAGCTTCCTTTAACTTGACACGGTCTTTGGGTCTGGGTTTGAAACCTGGCTCTGCCATTGAGTAAGAGGATAAACCATATGAAGTCGCTGTTTGCATTTAAAAATGTCTGAATATTGGCAATTTCATGTGGTATAACTGAATAGTTGTGGGACCACAATTTCCCTCAGCCTCAGTTTCTGCATCATTAAAATGGAGATATAACAATGTCTTTCTCAGGGTTGTGGTGGTAATGACATGATATGATAGATATTTGAAACTCTTAATGTACTATTTGGCGCATGGTAAGTGCTAAATAAATTTAGGTCACTATCATCATCATCACGATTTTGCTAGCTGTATAGGAAAATTATACAAGTCCAGACAGAGTCACCTGTCATTGAAGAGAGGGTTCTGTGGGTGAAGACAGCTTTTGAATCCTGTTGCCAGCCCTCTAGCCCAACCAGGGTTTTGCACAAGGATCTAGATGAGTCTGTCCAATAGAACTTTCTGGAATTATGGAAATTTTATTATGCACTGTCTGATACAGCAGCCATCAGCCACGTGTGGCTGGGGAGCACATGAAATGCAGCCATCGTAATTCTGGAACTAAATTTATTTATTTTTAATTAATTTTATTTTAGATTCAAATGTCCACATGTGGCTGGAGGCTATTAAATTGGACAATGCAGATGTACAATGCAATGTAGCCTCTTCTGCCCTCATGGTGGGATCTCAGGAGGAGTGTTTGGCTTTTTGTGGAGAAGTAGAACCAAGAAAGGAATAAGAAAACATGACAGTAGCCCTGTTCTGGCCCAGCAGCTGGAATAGGTTTCCAGGCCAACAGGTACAGCATTGGAAATAGATATCGTTGATCTGATTGGTAGACTGGGATGACCTCCTTTGTTAAAGAGAAAAGAAAAGAAAATCTTCCAAAGTGTAAGCAACCACAAAAAAGAGCTCTGAAAAGACCTTCTCCATTATTCAAATCGGTCCCAACCTTCATGCCAAGCGGCTTTAGGCTCCTTCACTAGTGCCTGCCTAAGGCCACACACATTCTCGTTAATCTTCTAACCCAAACCGGGCCAAAAACACTTCCCCTGTTTCATCTTGGCTTCAAAAAGTAAGTGGACATGTTCACAAGAAACTTTTCCCAAATTTAAGGGAAAACATTAGTCATCACCTGTCTGCAAAGATTCCAGGTCCAAGAAAAGAGTTTATGTTTCATTAAGCTCCAAGTTCCCTCCTCCCAGCCTGATGTCCTGTTTCCACAAGTCAAGGGGAATGTGGTCCTCACACTCCAGCATTCCTTTCCCTCCCTGGTCCCTTCTTATGTGATGTTTTTAAAACTCATGTGACATTTGTATTCTGCCATCTATGTCTATTCTTGTGTGCCGGGCCTTCTCCATCTGTCTTCCTACAGCCATTATTTTCCCTTTTCTGCCCTGCAGCATTTCTGAGGGGTCTTGGAGAGGATGTTCTGGGTGTTTACTCCTCACCCTCTCTCTATCCGCTGTCAAGTCTAAGCAGCAGTTGAGTTCCTACAGCTGTGGCTCATTTGAGTAGCGTTCTTGCTTAACCACAGCATTCACAGGTCCCAGAAACACCTTTCCCTCTTGTTATTCCTTCAGGCCTGTAAGTGCTAATGGCCTCCCACTGTTGCTAGCTCCTGAGTATCTTACTGAGCCTTGTTGGCTGTCTTCATCCTGACCATACCTCTGTAAATGAAATCTTTCTTTATTAAAATGTCTTCAATCAAACTCCATGAGTGTTCCATCTATTTCCTGCTGGAAACTTAATTAATACATCTCGTATATTTTAAGAAAAATATATTGTACATATTCCCCAAGTAGCCACCAAATCAATGAGGCATGTTTGTCCGACAGTTACCACCCCGAGCTGAGAGACACAGTCCTCAGATTTATCATCAAAGAGGCATGTCTGGCCAGGCACTGTGGCTCATGTCTGTAATCTCAGTGCTTTGAGAGGCCAAGGTGGGTGGACCATTTGAGGTCAAGAGTTGGAGACCAGCCTGCCAACATGGTGAATCCCCATCTCTACTAAAAATACAAAAAAAGGCCGGGCACGGTGGCTCAAGCCTGTAATCCCAGCACTTTGGGAGGCTGAGGCGGGTGGATCACGAGGTCAAGAGATCGAGACCATCCTGGTCAACATGGTGAAACCCCGTCTCTACTAAAAATACAAAACATTAGCTGGGCATGGTGGCGCGTGCCTGTAATCCCAGCTACTCAGGAGGCTGAGGCAGGAGAATTGCCTGAACCCAGGAGGCGGAGGTTGCGGTGAGCCGAGATTGCGCCATTGCACTCCAGCCTGGGTAACATGAGTGAAACTTTGTCTCAACAATAAATAAATAAATAAAATAAAAGTAGCTAGGCATGGTGGCACACGCTTGTAATCCCAGCTACTCCGGAGGCTGAGGCAGGAGAATCACTTAAACTTGGGAGGCAGAGGTTATAGTGAGCTGAGATCACGCCACTGCACTTCAGCCTGGACGACAGAGTAAGACTCAGTAGGGCATGATGACTGGCATATCTTAGTGCCAATAGATGATTCATCTCTCCTGTCAAAGTCTTCTGACTCTGCCCTCTTTAGGAGCAGTTTTCTGTGACTAAATCTGTTGAGTTCCCTTATACAACCCTATCCCAATATACAAATGGATTTTTGTGAATATATGATGGAATTGTGAACATAAAATCTGTTCAGATATATGCACCTAGAAACAGAAGTTTTGGTGCCCTCTGAGGATGTCAAGAAATCATCTCTGCCAGGCTCTTACCTTGATTCAGGTAAGGCTTATTTACCTTGTTTGGCAGATGGTATAACTAAGACCCAGAAAAGTTAAGAGAAATGCCCAGAGATGGATCTGTTTCCCATGCTGCCACCTTCTCCCTGTGCCCATAGCACATATTGTTATTCAATCGAATTATTCATTCCCATTGTAAGGTCTTGTTGCAGTTCTCTAGCAACCAACAAATCTCTCAGAGTTGACATTCAAGACCTGTTTGTCATCCTAGCATGTCCTCGAGTATTAAAAACTGGAAAAAAGGGCTACAAATCAGTCTCTATAGTCTCCTAGTGCACTGTTCTTTCTGAGATATTTTCCTGTAAATTCAGAAAACCTGTGCAGACTATGTTTCTGTTATCTTTAATACCTAGTATGTTTTGTTAACATACTCCTTTTTGTTCCTGTTATCTTTACTAACTAGTATGTTTTGTTAACAAAAGATAACCTCCTTTTTTCTTTTTTTTTGAGACAGGGTCTCACTCTGTCACCCCAGGCTGGAGTGGCACAGTGCAGTGGCACAGTCATGGCCCACCTCAGCCTTCACCTCCCAGGCTCAGGTGATCATCCCACCTCCTCCTCCCCAGTAGCTGGGCCTACAGTTGCCCACTACCACACCTGGCTAATTTTTATATTTTAAAAAATGTTTTTTTGTATTTTTTTGCTGAGACAGGGTTTTGCATGTTGCACAGGTTGATCTCCAACTTCTGGGCTCAAGCGACTTGCCCACCTCGGCCTCCCAAAGCAAGAGGATTATATGCATGAACTACCATACCTGGACAAGTGAGCCTCTTTGAGCCTCAGTTTGCACGTTATAACATGGAGATTATTAAGATTTCATTATTGGGAGGGTTAATTGATAAGCACATGCAAAGTACCTGGCACAATATCTATCATATAATGGGTGCCCTGTTCATGGCAGCTCTTATTATTCATATTTTATCAGCAGAATGTCTGCCATCCACAATGTGCTCTTCTGTGGTGGTCATCAGGCCATTAGGCTGTTCACAAGTATTTTATTTATTTTCCTGAAATATGTGGCATGCTAATTGCATTTCTCTACCACATTCAAATTATATGTGACCAAATGGCTTGCTTTGGCCAAAAAAAAATAAGAGCAAGAGATATGATTTCTGAGTAGAAGCATTTAATTGCTGCTTCTCTCCTCCAGTCTTCCTTTTCTATGTTTTTGTGACTGTGGAGACAGATGTGAAGGTGGATCATCCATCAACCTAAGGCTGAGTACGTTGATGATCAGAACCCCAGGCTGACCCCTGTTGGACATGTCGTGTAAGTGAGAAATACACCTCTTGGGTAAGGCCAATGAGATTTTGCAATTGTTTCTAATCCATCTTGATGAATGCATCAAGTTTCCAGGGAAGCGGAAACTTCTCTCATAATAGAGAGGTAACCTGAAATATTTATGTGTGTTGAATATTCATGTCCCCCAAAGTAATTTTCTCACTCTCCTACATAGTACTGGGTAATAATGCTGCTTAATATGTATCCAGTGCCACGACATGCCAAGCATTTTTTCTGAGGATTTCATGCAAGCCGATGTATACATTTTAGTACCATGTCTGGCACATGGTAAATGTCCAAAGTTATTCTAATCATCGCTGTCATCATTATTATGCATCATCTCCAGTCCTTCTGACATCCCAGTGAGGGAGGGACTATTATTATCTCCACTTGACAGAAGAGGAAGCCAAGGCACAAAGTCGTTAAGTAATATGCTCAAGGTCTCGGAGGCAGAAAATAATGCAGCAAGGGTTTGGCCCAAGTCTGAAACCAAACTTCTCGTCTTTTCCATGCTGCTCCATTTACTGCCCATGAAGGACTATCAAATTCCATGTAATAGACTTTCCTGAACAATTCTGCTTCCCACTGGTGTGGCAGGTGCCCCAACCTCAGAATAGTGGCCCTGGTTCTACCACTTGCAGCTATGTAGACTAATCCATTGAGGGAGAGAAAAATTGGATTCCCTCAGGCTAATCCCTTCATGGAAATTAAAACTTGGCATTCAGAAAGAGGATTTATATTTTTCTACCAGCTTCAAGATTCACTACCAAAAGGGATTTCCCCCTCCTTCCTTCATTTTCTTCGAAATCTCTAGGTTGTCTGTCACTTATTTCTGTCTAATAAGTAGCATGAGATGAGGGGCCAGTGGCAAGTTTTTCCTTTCCTGCTCATCCTCCTAGACCTGCAGAGTCTACACAGGGAGGTGGAGAGAGAGAACCCGAACACAGACAGACCTACCAACCAACCTCCACTCACCACATCTGCCTCCAGGCCATTTATTTCATTAAAGCACAGGATGCTCAAGAGAACTCAGGAAAAGGGACAATTTCATTTTGCCTACACTTTGGAAATTAAAATTATTTCCAAAAAATAATATGCTTTGTTCTTTGAGAAAGCTAAGGAGAGAAGACAAGAGGTCAAAGGAGTAAGAGGTAAAAAAAAAAAAAAAAAGAGAGAGGCAGAAAGGGAGAGCAGGAGAGAGAGATAACAGAAAGACACATAGCAGTCTTTAGAAAGACTAGCATACAGAAAGACATCCAGCACTTTGAGAGGCCAACACAGGAGGATTGCTTGAGCCCAGGAGTTTTAGACCAACCTGGGCAACATAGTGAGACCCTATCTCTACAAAAATTTTTCAAAAATTAGCCAGGTGTGGTGGCATGTACCTGTGGTCCTAGCTACTCAGGAGGCTGAGGCAGGAGGATTGCTTGAGTCCAGGAGATGGAAGTTGCATTGAACTTTGATTGAGCCACTACACTCCAGCCTGGGTAACAGAGTGTGACCCTGTCTAAAAAAAGAGAAAAACAAAAAAAAAATATATATATAAATGTGTGTGTGTGTGTGTGTGTGTGTATGTGGGGGAAGAGAAAGAGAACAGAATAATGATAAGATTGGTTCTGTGTCTTCATTATATCAGCAACCCTTTGATTTTTTTTTTTTAATTTTAATTGGTACTACTTTGTCAATCACCCGCATTTGGAGTGTTTTATGGAACCCCTTCCTTGTACTCCCTCTCATACCCCAGAAAAGCCTCTAACTCAATGGTTCCCACAAGTCTAGTTTATATCTGCGGTTCATCTTGAAATGACATGGGGTATTGGAAAGGAGAGACTTTTTAGTTCAACTAACCTGTATACAAAATACAGTCCTAGCCCATTGTTTTCATTCAACTAATACTTATTGATAACCGTATGTATGCCAAGCACTGTTCTAGGCACTGAGTTACAGTGAACAAAATTCCCTGCCTTCATAAAGCTTCCATTCTAGAGGAACAAACAGAAAGAAAGATATATAATATTTTAGTGGTAAGTACAATGGAGGAAAATAAGTCATAAGAGGAGGATAAGGATAAGGAGTACTAATACCGGAATGAGGCACAATTTTCAGTAAAATGATTGGGGTGGGCCTCACTGTGAAGGATGACACTGGAGCAAAGCCTTGTAGGAGGTGAACCCCGCAGGTTATCTGGGGGAAAAGCAAACACCAAGTGCAAATGTCCTGGAGTGAGGGCACTCCCAGCATGTGAGGGGGCCACTGAAGGAATGAGGAACAGTAAAGGGGAAGGTGTAACAGGTTGTAGGTCCTGATGCAGTTGAAGAGTTATTGAAGTTCAGACACTAGAGGGAGTGAACTAGAAAGAAAGATATCAAAAAGTGGGAGGTATGAAATTGACTTTATGAAATGACTGCCATTCCCATGCATAATCTAGAGTCATGGCACTGAATGTCTGAAGAAGGACAGAAGAAAAAATTACAGATGGTGAGAAGGTGAAGGGTATTGGAAGGCTCATTTATGTAGGTATTAAAATACCTGAGAATTAGAGAAGAATGGTGTTGGAGTGTAATGGCCCAGTGGGTTCATTTTGCCCACTGTCCAGATAGAGACGATGTGTCAAGGTGGGGGAACAGCAACAGAGAAAGTTTAATACACATAGAGCCAGCTAAACAGATGACCAGAGTTTTATTATTACTAAGATTGCCTCCCTGAAAATTCAGAGGCTTGGGTTTTTTAAGGATAGTTTGGCAGGCAGGGGGCTAGGGTATGGGTGTTGCTGATTGATTGGCGATATAATCATAGGGGTCTAGAAAATGGCCCTCATGTGTTGAGTCTGCTTCTGGGTGGGGTGTAGCCAACTGGTCATCAGAAATGCAACAGCCTAAAAAGACATCTTAAAAGGCCAACCTCAGGTTCTACAGTGATGTTGTCACTGAAAAAAAGGTCTTGGTGAGGTGCCGCCATTTCTTTCTTTCTTCTTTCTTTCTTTCTCTCTCTCTCTCTCTCT